CACACTCTCACACACGCACACTCTCACACACGCACACTCTCACACACGCACACACACACTCTTTTACCTTGGCACGATGCAGGTCGACTCCGTACATGGAGAGTTTCTTTGCGTTTTCCAGGAACAGCATGTCAGCTTCAGCAGGAGCCATTCCTCTATAAACACACACACACACACACACACACAGATTACTGCTAAATGAACCGGTGAACACACACCAACAGATGCCCCGTGTTTGCAGGTGGACTGTTGAACACTATATGAATATGAAGGAATTCATTCATTCTCATCCTTGTTAACGACGCAAACAAACTTGTCCGAGCTCAGAACAGCTTTACTCAGGAGCCAAAGTTGATTTCGTGACAATTTTGCGCACAGTGCTGCGAGATCCAGCGTACGTACGTCAGAAAACCAGAAGTATTAATGCTAACTATAACCATGGTGTTGTGGTAGAAATAGTCGAATGCATTACATCATTAATTTCAGGGTTTGTACAACCTTTTGAGAGAGAAATTCAAGCACTTTTCAATGACTTAAGTATTTCACACAACTATTTCCAGCACTTTAAAGCTCTAAAATTATCCAGTTTGAATGTTATATTTAATGGGACGACCAAAATATATTTTGTGGTAAACAAACGCTTATGTAAAATAAAAAATATATATATAAAATCACCATTAGAACCAGTAGACGGCAGCAGAGGAACACTTATTGACTTATTAGTCATTCATTTTTACTTTTTCTCTATATTTATAAATTATAAAATCACTATTATAAAATATCAAATCATCAAGAAATCTGATTTTGTCAGAACTTTACACTTTTTTTGTGTATGAAGTAAGAAAAGTCACAAAGTGCCTTGAAAAACTAACTTTTCTTCAATTTGGGACTAAATCACACATAATCACTGAAGTTGGTCAGTTCCATATAATACTATAGAAGAGTAATGACACATTTAATAAGAGACGAATATATATATATACATTTTCTATATAAAAATTAGATTTAGCACCTGTTACTGTTGTTAATAAAACTACATTTTGTATGCATCCCAGTTAAAGCTTAAGTGCTTTACTATCAAATGTGTATAAGCATGAAATAAACAAGAATTTAAAATGTAAATTCTCCCCCACACACCTCCCCCAGCGCTAAAATAAAATACTTAACTTAAAAACTCAAAAAAATTAGAAAATGTTGCCTTGGCAGCTAATCAAAATAAAGTTTAATTTGACGTACTAAAATTACTAAAACTTAAACTCAAATAAAAATAAATCGAATTAAAAAATACCTTAAAAAATAAAATATAAAAATAAAAGCCAATTCAAAATGTCAATAAATACTATTTATAAACAATGGTAAAATAACGCAGATAGTGATTATGAACCCGGTTAATTAACTAAAACCTTAAACACATTTGTTACTGGATATAAAATAAATGTTAACTAAAATAAAATTATTAATTATAAAAAAATATTACTTCAGCTAAATGCCAAGGCAACATTTATAATTTTAATGTACTAAAATAATTAAACAATAAAAAATAAAGAGACAAATAAAAAAACAACAACAACTAAATAATTAAAACTTTAACAAATTAAAATGAAAATATTAAAATAAAGACAATATTAATAAAAACTATAATAATATCTCAATGATACAAAAGTAACACGCTACGACATGATGTGAAACTCACTTGTATCCGCGGTGGAGCTCCACGTATCTAACACCAGTGTTATTTTAGTATCACTGAGATATTATAATAGTTTTTTTTTGTTTATAATTTGAATTCATTTTTATTTTTGTATTTTCTTTTTGTAATTTTGGTTACATTTATAGTAAGTTTGTTGTGTTTTTCATTGTTTTTTTAATGCTATGTAGTTGTTTTCTATGTAATGCTATGGCTGTTTTTAAGTGGCAGGTCCTTTAAGGCTTGTCAGTAATCAGCAAGTGTTATGATTAGCTAACATCATTGCATAGGAAACACTATAATTTTAGTCAGGGCAACTTGTAATCTGTAACCTATTACATTTCCAAAGTAACCTTCCCAACACTGACTATAACCCAAGCAGACCTGGTGATGTCCTCGGAGAGCTGCGATGGATCGGGAGGATAAAACTTCACGCTGAAGGCCAAGTTCCAGGGACCAGCTGAAAAACACGAGAACTTCATGTAAGAACTTGAAGACGTTTGGAAGGAGACAAAGAATGAGTCTGGTTAGGGAAAGACGTACTGATGATCTGCTTCTTCATCTCTTTGGAAGTGTCCAGCCAGTTCTGTGGGAAAAGCAGGAGGTTCGGCATTGAAAAACAGGCTGAGACGCATGAAATGAAATCAGTTCAGAGGAAGAAGACTGACCAACACCATCTGGTTTTCAGCATCCCGGTACGTCATGCCAAAATAGTCCTTCTCCAGGAGATTCAGGTGATCGCAAACCTTATCGAACAGAACCTGACCTTTCGCTCTTTTCTGTCGACAACAAACAAACAGAGAGTCATTAAAGGGACAGTTCAGCCCAAAATCAGGGATGTAACGATATTAACAAAATATCGCGATATCAAAGCGGTCTCGATATTATCGTGATCACATGACGATATGATATGAAACGATAGGCTGGGCAAAAAGAGTAGTTTTTAAAATATATTAAAATATTTTTATAGCTGCATGTCATGTGACCGTTAACCCCCATCAGAGAATTGTTAAATTATTGAAATTATTGACTTCAAATCTCAGGAAACCTCAATATAAATTTTTTTTTAATAAACATAAATATATCTAAACATAAATAAATATATAAAATTTAAATAAAAGCCTTACAGTAAAAATAAAAATATCAAAGGGGATTGGCTGACAAAATAATAATAATAATAATACATTTTAAAAAGATTAGGACTCTTTTCCCTGAACTCAGATATTGTGAATTTCAAGTCTTTATTAAATCAATAAATCTCTGTTTTGCCCCAAGTTCTAATTTGTAATTTTAATGCACTTCCTGTTTTATTTGGTAAATTACGAGTAAACCCACAGCAATGATGGTGGATTAGTAATTAATATCTGCTGGGATTTTCCCACATTCTGTTCTCGCTGAACACTCCTGACTTGTTTAGACCGTCAGAAGCAAATTGGTCTTGGATTCTGTTTATTTAACAGACAAATACATCTATTTATGTTCCTCAGAAATACTTTCCTCTGAGAATCAAGCCTCGACTCGCTCACGCAGATAAACCATGTTTACAAACTAATATTATGGTATGTGACCCTAGAGCACAAAACCAGTCATAAGGGTCAATTTTTTAAAAAATTGAATAAATAAGCTTTCCATTGATGTATGGTTTGTTAGGATCGGACAATATTTGAAAATCTGGAATCTGAGGGTGCAAAAAAATCTAAATATTGAGAAAATCATCTTTAAAGTTGTTCAAATGAAGTTCTTAGCAATGCATATTACTAATCAAACATTAAGTTTTGATATATTCGCGTTCCTTAGGGCGCTTGGCTGGGTGCGAAGTGCAAGAGGAGTGGCGGTCCCTGGGAGGTTGGTTCCTCGGAGGGGTTGTGATCCTCAAACCGCCCGAGCTACTGCCAGAAGTAGTCCTCCCCTGACTTCTGCTAGGAAGAGAACTAGATCGCGGCAGAGGCAACGGAACTCCACCCCTTTTGAGGTAGTGGAGCCTGTTCCGCAACTCCGAGATGGTCATCTTCCCGCAATGGGAACATGACTCATCCACGAATGCTACTTCAGCGTGTTTAATGCCCAGGCACGTGACGCAGCGATCGTGACCATCACCCGGTGCTAGGTAACGACCGCATCCAGAAATGCACGGGTGAAATGGCATCTTTAAAAAGATGCGTCTCTAAAAAGGCGTTCACCCTTGAATGCTCTTTTAGTTGTGCTGAAGCACACTGGGGAGATGGCCACCACAACACTACAGGGAGTAGTGCAGCCTGTAGTTTGCACCCACTCAACGAAGGTCAACCTTCGGAGCCCACGCTGTCGTGCCGTGACACCCGCACAGAGAAGCTCCTTTGAGAGCGCTGACTCGTTGACACACGAAGCTTGGCAGGAGCAGAACGATAACACCACTCGGCTCCGAAGCGAAAAGCTGATTATGCGCTGCACCGGCTGCCTACTTATACTCACGCTGTGATCAGCGGCAGCTGGATGCAATAATCGCATGCCAATGTGCATTGACTTGTTTAGTTTACACTCGAAGTAGATTGGTCTCTCTGGCGAGATTCCAAATTCATCGGTCACCGACGTGACGTCGAGTGACCAACTGAAAGGGAACATGAGTTACGTAATCAGATTACTTTAACTAGTAATGCATTACTAGTTAAAGGAAATATCTAAGTTTTTCAAATAAGTAACTCCAGTTACTTTGTTTCTCATGTATTGACTGACAGCTGCGCCCTCTACTGTACAGACGTGAATTTTCATTTCCTTAAGCCTGAGGCATATGCATTTCACTTTTGGTGTGAAAGGGCTTTTACATTTGTAAAAGAATAAATTTTTAATATTAAAAACAAACAAGCAAGCCCTGCCCAGATTTAAAAAGTAACTCAAAAGTAACTTAACGCATTACTTTCCATAAAAAGTAACTTAGTGAGTAATGCAATATTGTAATGCATTACTTTTAAAAGTAACTTTCCCCAACACTGATCCCTAGTGACTAAGCTATAAAGTTAACCAGACTATAGGCTACTGATCTGACACAGAAGCACTACAGCACTAGAGGCTGGATTGGGATGATGGGATGTATGTGAAGCTCTCACCGGGCTGCGCTTGTGCTCCTAATTTAACAAATTTAGGAGCACGGTCAAAAATTTAGGAGCACCTTCTAATCAGTAATCAAAAATTCTGAGGTCAGTAAAACTATTGTTTATACTTTTATTAAGGTAGGATGTTTTAAATTGTGACAGAAATGTGTGACAGTAAAGTCTTTTACATTGTTACAGAAAGTTAACATAAATGCTGTTCTTTTGAACTTTCTATTAAATTTGTATTCTTTTTTTTCGCAGAATCCCCAAAAATATTAAGCAGAACAACTTTTCAATATTCAGAACAATAAGACATGTTCCCTGAGCACTAAGTCAGACTATTAGAATAATTTCTTAAGGATCATGTGATTCATAACAGGAATAAATTACATTTTAAAATATATTCAAATTGAAAAAAAAATTTGTAATAATATTTCACAATATTACTGTTTGTACATTATATATTGTATACACTATTATACATTATTTACAAATTCTTACTAATCCAAACTTTCGTGTGTGAGTAGATAGATATGACAGTGGAATTGTAAAGCTGTTTTTCATTGTATATATGAGGCAAACAGTTCAGGTCATTGTGTCACTTGCAGTTTCAAATCCAATCTCTAGCGGAAATGTCACCTGTCATAAAGACAGATACTATTCATCAATCAGTACCAGGGCTCTACACTTACTTCTCTTTTTTTTTTTAAATTTAGGAGCATGGTCCAAAATTTAGAAGCACCTTCTAATCAATAATAAAAAAAATTCTGATAAAAAATTTACCTTCCCATTACGAGGTGATATTTGACTCAAAGTGATTTACAGGGAATTTTGTTTTTACCTTTGTAATGGCATTTTTCTAACTTTATGTATGTCATCTTTTATGTCAAATTAAAATATATATATATATATTTATAAGCTTTTTAACATTTCTAATTAAAACAAATAAAACAAGTAGAATAAGAATAAGTTACCAATCAAATGAAATCAGTATTTAAGAAATAAATTTGTGCTACAGAGTTGGCACAGAAGAACACACAAGTGGCTTGTAGGTGTTACTTTCAGACGTTTAATGAGGCTCAGAGGTCGCATGAGTGCAATTAAATTCATAAATTCATGTTGAGGTTAAATAGAAATATTAAATGATTTAAATAACAGAAAAGATACTTTAAAAATTAAACTAAAACTGCCAGCAGGTGGCGACAAGTCACTGATTTTATCACTGAATCATTCATTCAATTGATTCATTCGAATGGCTGATTCATTCAGGAACGAAGTACTGACTGTCTTTATGAATGGGTAATTGAAATATAGGCCTATTTCATTATTTTCTCTCGCAGTTATATCATTGGGCAAATATACTGTATATAAATTGCGGGCATCAGGGAGCCGCTATTATGCCTGGCATTGAAACTGCTTTTGAATGCACGATCGATTTTTAGCTTCACTTTTGAGATTCGCGATCGCACGTACTCTGTTTATACTATGGAGGGCAAGTACTTACCACACATTTTACAAGATTAAATGTTTGTCAGTGTTGCTCAGGATCTGCAAATCATTCGCCATCGTCCTCAGTCATCTCCCCTTACTCTGTTTATGTGGTAAGTAAAATTGTATGTACTGTAATGTAACAGTCAACCGCTAGCAATCGTTATTTGTTTTCCGTTTGTTTTTACGTACAACGAGCATGATGTTATCGTTTACGCGGTCGTCAAGGATACACAGAGAGAATGTGGGCAGCCACGCCATCGTTTTCAAAAGTCTCTGCTTTGGTCTGTTTACACTGAAACGCAACCCCGGCGTTTTCAAACTAAAATGGCTAAAGAAAGTAGAACGGAAATCTGCAGCGTTTTCAAAAGTCAAAAAGCCGAAGTAGTGTGAACGATCGTAGCAAAAGTTATGCATTTTAAAATAAAAACGTGTAAACGTAGCCTAAGACCGTGTCCTAACTACACGTGACGCAATGCCGCGACACGC